GGGGCCCCACCTCAGCCTTATTAAGTCAGAACTTCTGGGGTCAGAGCCCAGGAATTTCCATTTTTCACAGACTTTCCCATCTTGCACACCCAGTTCCGTATGATGAAAACCACATGAAGAAGGACACCTGGGGCCAGCGGAGGGTGTGAGGTTTAATGTGCTGGATCCCACATGGCTGACTCAAGCGGTTTGAGTCCCAGCTGCTTGAATAACATGCTGGGCATGTGTGCATGCATGCCCACGATCCCAAGAGGAGATGGAGAAGGGACTGTGGTGTGGGCAACTCCCCGGGGGGTGATTTCTCACTTTTCCTCTCTTTTCTCTGTAGTGAACATATGTGCCCTATGGCAAACTAAAAATAAAATAAATAAATAAAAAAGTTAATTAATTAAAAAAACCCACAGCCTTACATCCTCTTCCAGAATGAGCTGAACAACAACAAAAAAAATTCTATCAGCAGTTTTTCAGTACCCCCAAGCACACGTACATACGGAGGTATGAACTGCAGTCTCTGTCCTAGAAGGGATGACAAGCTAACTGAGAAATAAAAGACATACTTTGTGAAGACTTTACTTAATGCTGGCGTATATGACAGTAATTCAAAAAGCGAGGCAAATAGACTGGACCAATTGCGAATAGTGGGAATAAAGATAGCATTCACCAAGTGCCTATGAAATGCTCAATTCTGTACTAAGCGCTTCAGTTCTAGATTTTCATTTAATCCTTATTTGATCTCATTAAAACCCTGGAAGATAGGTATTTTTATCCTCAGTGAGTGAGTTATATGTCAATTCCTCTCAGATCAGCCCTCCCTGAGCCTTAGGAGGTGGTTAGGATAATGTCTCTGTCCCCAAAATATCTTTGCATTACAGTGTTAATCTTATTTATCACAGCGTTGTAATTGTCTGTTTACTAGCCCGGGTCTCCCGTAAGACTTGAGAATAGATATTTGGTATTTCCAGAATCCAGTGAACTGTGAGTTTTCAGCTAATGCTTATTGAATGAATGAAGATGGTATACCCGAAATCTCAGAGCTGTTAAGTGAAGAGGCTGGGTGACTCTGGCTGAGGTTTTTCTCTCTGAGCCGTTACAAACAGACGGTACAGGTTACGAAGACTTCTGCAAGGGACAATCTCTATATGTTGGAGTAATCAGAGAAGACTCCCTGGAGGAAGTAGAATTGGAAGGACAATTAGAATTCAGAAAAACAGGGCCAGTCTGTGGTCTGGTAGTTAAGGCGGCTGGTTCACACATGACCTACCAAGCAGTTCAATTCCTGGCCCAGCAACCTGAAAAACGTTCTGTGTGTGTGTGTGTGTGTGTGTGTGTGTGTGTATGCCCAAAATCCCAAAAGGAAGAAGAAATCAAGAAGGGATTGAGGTGTGACCAGCCCCCTGGAGGGGTACTTTTCACTTTCCATCTCTCTCTCTCTGTCTCTTGTTTCTCTCCAGCGAGTGCATGCTCCCTCTGGCAAATTAAAAAAAAATTTTTAGAAAGACAGCTGAGGGGTCAGTGTAGTGTCATGATGGTTAAGGCGCTGGACTCCCATGGTAAACTGTGGTTCACGTCCTGAACCTGGCAGTTTGCTTTCTCACTTTCTCTCTTTCTTTCTCTCTCTGGTGAGTGCATGTGCCCTATTAGAAATTTAAAAAGAATAATAATAAATAAAATTAAATAATTTAAAAAAGAAGAAAGGCAGATGAAGGGGCAGGCAGGTGGTGTGGTGGTTAAAGGTTCTGGACTCCCACATGGCCGAATATGGTTCGAATCCCAGACCTGGTGGCTTGCTTTCTTACTTTCCCTCTCTCTCTGATCAAACTAGAAAATAATAATAAATAATAATAATAATAAAGTTAGATAAAAATTAATTCTTAAAAAAAAAAAAGAAAGGCAGATGAAAAGTGAGCAGTCACTCTAGTCAGACTAGGGCATAAGGTGGGGTTGGTTCTACCAAGTGAAAACTTCCTCTAAAACAGAGATCCCAGGGGATTTAGGAGGCTGCATCTTACCTACTAAGCCTTTCTAGTAGATCCACTGGCTGTTGACTTATAACTAACTGCTATTTCAATTACTGCTGCTAAATTATTTTCCCCCACATTTTACAGGGAGAACAAATGCTCCATTGCTTACTTGTGCCTAGAGAGGGCATTCTATTAGTAGATTTGTATAACTCCTTCTACTGGTGGATTTGTTCATCTGGAAAACCCTTTTCAATATTAAATGGGGTATTTTTCAATTTCCCATCTCAATGAAGAAATAATCCATTTAAGTTTATGATATATTGCTAGGTGAAAAAAGCAAGGCACGGCAGTATCTCAGGATTTCATTTTCATTTTTATCAGAAAGAATGGTGAGGGAGGGGCGCAGACACACCTGTACGCGTGTAGGAGACATTTAGGTTATATACTGAAACTGAGCAGCAGCCGGCTCTGGATAGCGTCTAGGAAGATGTGGTCTTTCCATCCTTACATAGTCTTGTACTTCTGTCCTTTAAACAAAGAGTATGAATAACTTTGCAGCTGACAAATAAGATTATTTGGAGGAATTATATAATAGGTACCTTTTAAAAATTTGCTATAGGGTATGTGTGCTCATCAAAAAGGGACAGAGAGAGAGAATGAGAAAACACACCCTACTGTGGTAAGACTACCATCCTTTCGCCTCCATTCTTCCTTTGGAATTTTGGGGATGCTCCCACATACACCAGGTGTCTTTCTCAAGTCTCCAGGTCCGGGACATGAACTAATCTACTCTGTGGGATCTAGCTACCTTAAGCACCATGCCACTAGCTGGCCTAACAGTATTTTTTGTATTTTTTATTATTATTATTATTTTAATGAGAAAGAAAAAAAAAAACAGAAAAAAATTTAAAAAAGAGAATTATTTATTTATTTCATTCCATTTGTTATTGGTAGTTTTTTTTTTTATTTGACCACCAGAGAGAGAGAGAGAGAAAGGGAAAGTAAGAAAGCAGGTTCAAGTCCCACCAGGTCCAGGACTTGAACCATTGTCAGCCATGTGAGAATCCCTTATCCACCATACCGCCTGCTGGCCCCCAGAAAAATATTTTTAAAATGTCACAGTTTGTAACATTGATGGGCCTGGATGTCTGAGAAAAATACCAAAGATGTTCTTAACTCTGTGTCCCTAGAAATTAAGCACCCAGGCAAGCTGGTATAAATCAATTGTCTCAACCAATTTGGCAAGACTCCTTAAGAGCTGTAAGAATGTTCCAGATCCCTAATTTTGGAAACCCATCCTGGGGCTTTAGCTCAAGAAAATACTTCAAAAATGAATAGCAACCAAAACCCCTTCTACATATGCAGATCCTCACGGTGGCCTTACAGTTAATGCGGTGAGCTGGGATCCACCTACAAGTCCCACAGTGAACAGCCAGAGACGGCTGGTGTCCTCACAGTGGACTATTAAGAGCCATTTCTCAGAATAAACCTGACAGCTTTATAGAAACACGGGGCTGTGTTTACAAACTAATGCTGAGTGAAGAAAAATTGAATACGATATTGCAATTGTACGAGGATTATGGTTATTATACATCTGTTATAATTAGAGTTGAAGAGAGCTAGGATGAGAGAAGAGGGAGACAGCCAGAGAGGGAGGATGAGCGCTACCTCGTTAGGGATGTGGAACAATGGACTTTTTTTCTTTTTCTTCCTTCCTTTCCCTTCCTTTCCCTTCCTTTCCTTTCCTTTCCCTTCCTTTCCTTTCCTTTCCTTTCCTTTCCTTTCCTTTTCTTTCCTTTTCTTCCTTCTTCCTTCCTTCCTTCCTTCCTTCCTCCCTCCCTCCCTCCCTCCCTTCCTTCCTTCATGTTTTTGCCATAGGATGTGTATTCTCACTTACTCCCTAGCGAGCGAGGATGGTCATATCACAGTCCCATCCCTTCTATTCTCCCCTTGAGATTTTGGGCACATGTGCACATGCACCCAGTGTGATTTTCAAGCTGTTAGGTCCAGGACTGGAACCACAGAACTGAACACGTGAGAGTCCAGCGCCTTAACCACCCCAATGAGAAATTTTTTTGGTTTATTTTTTCCTTCCATGAGTGAGAGAGACAGAGAGAGAGAGATGGAGACAGAGAGAGAGTCTTGACATTGCAACTAACGCCCAATTTTAACCAACCCTAGATCATGGGTATGCCACCTGCTGCTCCTCCTGCTGAGTCTTTTACACAGATTATTTGATTTTCAAAAAAAGTCCATGAAATAGGTACTATTATTGTCTCCATCTTGACAAGAAATTAGAAGAGGTTCAGAGAAGTTATTTGCCTGACGTCCCAGAGACCCCATGTGTAGTTCGTATTCAAGAATTAAATAACATAGATTTTTAAAAACTTTCAGAATGTTCCCAATGGAGCCAGATAGTGGCAGCAGTGAGAACCCAAGCCCTGGGAGCCAATCTCATGGGATTGTTCCCCTTTCAGGTTGGGAGACTTTCCTGAGAACGCCAGGCATCCCCATGATCTGGGGCTGGTTAAAACTGGGAGTCGGTTGCAATGTCAAGACTTTCTTTCTGTCTCCATGTGGCCATATGGGAATCCAGCGCCTTAACCACCATGCCACTGACCAGCCTTGTCTGTGTTTCCTTAAATCTGCTGGCTTACATGCAGTGCGTGCTCAATGCACTTTGGTTGATGAATGAAGGGGTGGATGAGTGAATGGCAGGGTGTGCATGGACGGTGGGAGGGATGAGTCGGGGCGGGGGGTTGACCCCTCAAACTCTACAGCAGTCCTGGTGCTGGCCCTGCTGGGAATGGCACTGGGATTACAGCCAACACTCCCCTAGGGTGAATAACCGCAGGGCTGTGCCCCTCCAGGTCCTGCCCACATCATAAAACACAAGTGCTTCCTCTTCAAGGGCAGGAGGGAGAAGTGGGGTGATTTTGGGGGCTGAGCCTCAGCAGCTAGGAGGGTTTATAAGCTGGGACAGCAGCTCCTCAGTACCGGCTCTCCTCCTCATCTCTGGCTGTCTTGCACCCAAGCTCTCCTAGCAGCATGGCCTTCAACGGCAAGTTCGAGATGGAGAGCGAGAAGAATTATGACGAGTTCATGAAGCGTCTCGGTGAGTTATCGTAGCCAGCTCTGCGCCCAGAAACCCTGGGAGAGAGTGGGACGGGCTTTATTCATTCACTCATTGATCCATTCCCACATGTCTTAAGCAATGGCTTTGTCCTGGATTCTGAGGATAAGAACTCTAAGAATTTTAGCGCCTCCACTTTACTGATGGAAACTTGAGGCCTAGAGGTGAGTCGTACAGCTAGTAACGGTGTAGTGGAGACTTGGTTGGTAGAGCAGAGACTTGATATTCATCCTTCCAAACACTTTCTGAACACCTGCTGCGTGCAAGGACTATCCCAAGGTTCCCGACGGGACACCTCAGTGTGACTCCTCCAAGGCAGGGGCAGGGGTTGTTATAGCCCCACGCCCTGCAATGTGTGGTGTCATCACCTCCTGCCTGGTAAGGGTGGTCGAGGGTCAGTGTGGAGACTTGCCCAAGCCATGTGGCTTGTGGCAGAGCTGGGATTTGAGGCAGATACTATTTGTTTCAGACCATGAAAAAAACTTCTTTTTTAAAAAGAAGTTTTTGTCTTAGGGCATATGTCCTTGCCAGAGACAGACAGAGACTGTGAGAGGGAAAGTGAGAAATCACCCCCCAGGGGGGATGGCCATGCCACAATCCATTCTCCATTCTCCTCCTGGGATTTTGGGCATGCACATGCAGCCAGTGTGATGTTCAAGCGACAGGTCGAGGACTTGAACCATGGTTGGCCATGTGGGAGTCCAGCGCGATGTAACCGCTACACCATCTGTTGGCTGCAGCTCAGCCCATGAGCTCTTAACCTGCAGGCTAACCTGACACAGGGGACCAAGCTCTTTCCCCAGATCACAGAGTTACAAGTTCTTACATGGCCTCTCTGCTTGTCACGGGGCCCAGGGCTCTCCAGCGACGTGATTGAGAAGGCCCGCAACTTCAAGATCATCACGGAGGTGCAGCAAGACGGGCAGGACTTCACCTGGTCTCAGCACTACTCTGGGGGCAACACCATCACCAACAAGTTCACCATTGGCAAGGAATGCGAGATGCAGACCATGGGGGGCAAGAAGTTTAAGGTGAGAGGTGGCAGACTGTCCCTTCTTCCCCAGGCCTCTGGCTAACTTCATCTCAAATGTATCCTCCTGCTTCCCAAATTGACGCTTCCTTCTCTAGGTTAGCTTCCAGGGTTCGGTGTTTGAGATGCTCAGCCATCTAACACTCCTGTTTTGGGTTTTAATGCTTAATCATCTATTTTTTCCATTAGAAAGAGATTATCTAATCCTAATCACTTCTTAAAGGTCTTGCCTCTTAATAGTATAGTTGGATTAACTTCCTGGCTCTCTTTACTCATTTTTTTTTTTTTAAAGAATTATCTATCCAGGGGACCAGCAGGTGGTGTGGTGGTTAAAGGTGTTGGATTCCCACATGGTTGATCATGGTTTGAGTCCTGGACCTGGTGGCTTGTTTTCTCCCTTTCCCTTTCTCTATCTCTCTGTGTCTCTCTAGTAAAAAAAATAACAAATGGAATCAAATAAACAGATAATTCTTTTTTTAAAAGAATTATTTTATTTAACTTTATTTACTTATTTGTTTCTTTTATTTTGGTGAGAGAAAGAGAAGGAAAGTGAGAAAGCAAACTGCCAGGTCTAGGACTCAAACTGTGGTTGGCCATGTGGGAGTCCAGCATCCTTAACCACCATGCCACCTGCTGGCCCCTAATAAATAAATAATTAAAAATATAATGATCTATCTCATTTTATTTATTATTTTTATTCTTTAACATGACCAAAGAGAGACAGAGAGAGAAAGAGAGAGGGAAAGCAAGAAAGGAAGCTGCTAGGTCCAGGACTTAAACTGCTGTTGGCCACATGGGAGTCCAGCACCCCAACCACCATGCCACCTGCTGGCCCAATTTCCTAGCTCTCAATAGCTTCACAATGGCTCACTAAATTTTAACACATAAATTTTTGGGAGACAAATTCAAACCACAACACCAACCATGACCATGAGAGTATTTTGTTCCTCAGGCTGCCGAAGTGGAGTAATTAAGTACCCATACTATTCATGTTCTGCCACTTGAGGTGTTTCTTTTCTTTTTTTTTTTTTTTTTTAAGAATTATTTATTTATTCATTCATTTATTTGAATTTAACCAGAGAGAGAGAGAGAGAAAGTGAGAAAGCAAGCCACCAGGCCTGAGACTGTAACCATGGTAGGCCATGTGGGAGTGTCCAGCCCCTTAACCACCATGTAACCTGCTGGTCCCACCACTTGAGTTTTAAAAAAATTAAATTTTATTTTTATGGATATCATTCTGGGTCAGTGTATATTGATTTGATCAATTCTTTTTGTTTTTCTTTTAAGGTTTTTGTCATAGGACATGTGTGTGAGCTGGAGAAAGAGAGAGAGAGGGAACGTGAGAAATCACCCTTTGGGGATGCACCCTCTGCAATCCCTTCTCCTCCATTCTTCTCTAGGAATTTTGGGCACCCAGGCACATGTTCCCCAAGTGACTTTCAAGCTGTTAGGAATGGGACTTGAACTGCATTCAGCCATGTGGGAGGGTTTGCTGAAGTTGTGTGTATCTTTGGAAATAAGTAATTGTGTACTTACAGGCCAAGTCCTGGAGGAGACGGCTAGGCTGCAGGGAGGCCCTTCGTCCCAGGGGGCCGGCCTGTGCTCAGGGGGCTTCTGAGGACTTGGGCTCAGCAGGTGCTTTCCTTTCAGGCCACCGTGCGCATGGAGGGTGGGAAGGTGGTAGCAGACTTCCCCAACTATCACCAGACCTCGGAGATCGTTGGGGGCAAGCTGGTGGAGGTAAGTGTCCTGCTGGCTCCTGAAATGATCAAGCGGAAGCTTTTCTGCCCTCAGCCATGGAGCGCTGGGAGCACATGCTCTGGTAGATCAGAAGAGCCCTGTTAGGTGGGGGTTTCATCTGCACCTTGCCGTGAGTAGCCTGGAGCACGAGGAAGCGAAGGGGCCAGTAGGGGGGCACACAGCTTTGGCGACAGCCAGATTTGATGCTAGGCAGTCGACCCCAGTGCTCACACTCAGCCACCTCAGGAGCATAACGTCAGAAACCGAAGACATCCCCCCCCAGGATGTAAATGGGGAGACGGTCAGTGGGTCCCCAAGGGCTACCACTCCATTCCATTTCCAAAAGTCCAGGCCCTTCCCCCTGATTTTCTGATTGTTCCAGAGAAACTGGAAACTTGCAATTTCCATACTAGTAAATGTTCACAAATATTTTCTATAATTTTATTTATTATTATTATTATTACTTTTTAATTTGACCAGAGAAAGAGAGAGGGAAAGTGAAAAAGCAAGCTCCCTAGTCCAGGACTTGAACCATGGTTAGTCATGTGGGAGTCCAGTGCCCCAACGACCATATCACCTGCTGGCCCCTCAAAATTGATTTTTACAAGTGTTCAATGCTAGCAGATCTGTGGGCTGACTTTCCCCACACTGGATGCACTGCCAGGAGGACCCCCTCTCACTTTTGTGCCGTCCCTCTGTGACTCCAGTGTTTTCTTGGTGGGAGGAGGTGGAAAAGTGGGTGGGAAGTGAAAGGGGCAGAACGGGGCTACACTTCATTCCCCTACTGTGAGCCTGGCACCTGGAGACCCCTATAGACTATTAGAAGGAGGCCTGCTCTCTCCCCAGGCTCTCTAGGAGGGGTGGAAACAGGGCAGGGTAGAAGGGCTGCTGGAACTAGAACCCCCTCCGCTGCTGGCTGGTGGTTTATCCACAGCCCTGGAGGCCAGGACGCAGCAGAGCTGGGAGCTTGCGGGTAGAGGTCTGGAGAAGCCTTCCCCCTGGTTTCTTCACAGGGTGCAGAGAGAATTTCTCTCACCTCCTTTTGTTTTCTTTATTCATGACAGAGCACCTGTGCCCATGAGCGTTAGGATGAAACACACACACACACACACACACACGCACACATACGTGCACGGATATAAGCAGCCTCTACAGGGCCTTCACTCCACACTCCCCTTCTCCATCCACGGAGAGCGTATTTTGCCACTATGGCTCCTACCACCTCTAGCCACCACCAACACCCCTTGCCATGCTCCCATCCCCTACCCTCTACAGTGAGCCCAGCCTCTTCCCTGCTGTCACTGGGCCTCCAGTCCATCTTCCATCCATCCCGTATGCAGATCACACACCCCTTCTAGCTGCTGCCCTTGTTTGGAATTAGATCCAAACTCCTCTGTCTGACTGACCTCTGGGTCTGCACTGTCCCACCTGCTCCACCCACAGGTACCCTCTGCCCACCCCCGGACCTGCCACTGGTCCTGAGCTGGCCCTGCTTCCTCCAACTCTCTCTCTCTGCCTGTGTTTCCATCTGCTCTGAATCCCCTTTTCTCCTGTTCACTCACCAAATCCAACATGTTCTTCAGGACCCTGTCCCAGGACCAATCCCTTTCCCTTTCCCTTGTCAGAGGGTCCCCTTCCTCCTGGGGTTCTTCCCACCTCTTTCTGGGCCATCATCCTCTTCCCATGAGAGCGCCACTTTCCTCCCCTGGGAATAGGAGCCAATCCACGCTACCTGCTCATCCAACCACAGCACGCCTCGGTGGCGGCAGTGGCCTGGGGCCCTGTACACCATGGCTGTTAATGAACTCTGTCCCCTTACCTGTCTCTCCCAGGAGGGGGGCTGTACCTTCTTGTCACCAAGCACTTGACAGGTACCCATAAACACTGTGTGATGCGATGGTTGAGCGTGGCCCCTCAATGTGGGAAGCGTATTCTGACAACACTTCGGCTTCCTCTCCTGTGCCATGGGGGACCTCACAGGGCTGCTGGAGAGATTAAGGCCATTACACAAGGGAGTGCCGCGCCGGGTGGAGTGAAAGAAACAGAGCCGTGGAAGGCTCACACGCCCAGAGCCATGATTCCTTCTACGGCTGTTGGGCATTTCCCCATGCTGGGTCTGCCCCAGGGAAACGAAGGCCCGGAGGGCTGGTGCACCTGACTCCCATGTAGGGGCTGGCAGTGGAGGCTGGTCTTCCGTTAGGGTCAGCTGTGCTCGCAGTCACCTGGGGTGGGGGAGGCCCTGCCTGGGGGTGGGGCACTGACTGGCTCCGTCCTGCTGTTTGCAGATCTCCACCATTGGAGGTGTGACCTACGAGCGTGTGAGCAAGAAGCTGGCCTGAGCCCCCAGACTGGACCGGACGGGGCTCTGAGGGGCAGTAAACCTACCAATAAAACCGAGAGAACCACAATGAGAGCTTCAGAACCTGTGTTTGTCTCCCAGTTTCTTGGGGTCTACCTCTACTGGGCGGGGATGGAGGTGGAGGTGCCTCCAAATGCTGGCCCTGACCTCTGGGGGCCCCTCATCATGGCAGAGGGTTATGGACGGGCTGCAGTGTTGACTGCCCGAGTAGCC